GACACGAGTTCTCTCACATTGACAGTGGCTTGATGGAAATGCAGACTGACCCCACACTCATCTGGTGCCTTCGGGAAGTAGAGATGTTAGATATATATATCTCGAACTATCTACTTCTTTTGAAAGGTCTGATGGTGTAGTGGGTTAAAGCATACTAGTTATGCCTGCTACTGGAAGGTAGTTGTGCTTTCTGGGTTCGAGTCCCACTGGTGGGTGTTGTCCAAAGATTATTTAATCTTCACTTGTGGTTTATGCAAGTATAGGCTTATAAGCTGGACACGAGTTCTCTCACATTGACAGTGGCTTGATGGAAAATGCAGACTGACCCCACACTCATCTGGTGCCTTCGGGAAGTAGAGATGTTTGAGATATATATATCTCGAACTATCTACTTCTTTTGAAAGGTCTGATGGTGTAGTGGGTTAAAGCATACTAGTTATGCCTGCTACTGGAAGGTAGTTGTGCTTTCTGGGTTCGAGTCCCACTGGTGGGTGTTGTCCAAAGATTATTTTATATATATATATATATATATATATATATATATATATATATATATATATATATATATATATATATATATATGATAATAGAAGAGAAGATTGGGGAAGCTTTGTGAGGCTACCATGTATATACTTCTTATTCTTTTCTCATCTTTATTTCTAGTGTGTTATTTATGATATTAGTTATGGATCTACGCGAAGGGCTTCCCCTGAACAAGACGAAATACAACACTGAGGATGCGGGATATTCCTTCCCCAATGAAGAGTAAAAAGCGATATTCATAGCGAAAATAGGGGAAAAAAAATCATCTTAAATTTTTAACTGGAAGGATTACGTCGTGTTATAGGAAGGAGAAATGGGCAAAAATCGGAAATGAAATCGGCACAGAAGCGGATAAATTGGATTATATTATTTATTACAATACTTTTTTTTTATATCCTAAAAATGAATCGACAGAAAAGCCGCTCTATTTTTTTGTCGTTTTTTTTTGTTTTAAATTTTATTTTCAAGAATAATTTTATTTATGTGCGAGATTATTGATGGTACGGATTACCCGGTTTATGCTGATTGGATAATTTGTTGGTGATCAGTGCGCTGAGGTCAGCTGACCAGGGTTGTTTAGTTGTATTTTTTGTCATCTAAACTCAGTCCTGTTAAAGGTTGGAGATGGTCGTTGGGGTGCAAGGGGGGGGGGGGGGAATGTTAAGACGGACTGTCATTAGATGGACGGAGGGGTCATTAGACTGTCTTAGAGGTCATTAGACGGTCTTAGAGGTCATTAGACGGTCTTAGAGGTCATTAGACGGTCGAAGGGGAAATTAGACGGACAGAGGTTACCTTGTGTTGGTTTCGGGGTTCAGCGACCCCGCGGCTCGGTCCTCGACCAGGCCTGCTCGTTGCTGGACTGGGGAACCAGGCTGTTGGACGCGGGCAGCCGGACGTATGAATCCCAGCCTGGTTGATCAGGTATCCTTTGGAGGTGTTTATCCAGTTCTCTCTTGAACCCTGTGAGGGGTCGGCCAGTTATGCCCCTTATGTGTAGTGGAAGCGTGTTGAACAGTCTCGGGCCTCTGATGTGGATACCAGAGAGTGGAATTTGACGGATAGACAGGTCGGCTTGACCCATACGAGGTAGCTTGACCCATACGAGGTAGCTTGACCCATACGAGGCAGCTTTCATTAAGCTGGATGTAGAGTGCAAGATATCAGATCGCTTTACTGAATAGCTACATAATTTAAGCCTATCCACAAGGGCACTGCAATTGTGTTGTGAACAAAAGTGTAATTGTATAAATAGGGCTGCATTGGGATATAATGGGGACATTATTTGGTAATTAATGGGACACTTATCTGGGAATTGGAGCACAATCTGGGAATTAATGGTGACACTATCTGAGTATTAATGAGGGAACTATCTGAGAGTTAATGGGGGCGCTAACTAGGAATTAATGGGAACACTATCCGGAAACTAATGGGGACACTATCTGAGAATTAATATGGGAACTATCTGGAATTAATGGGTGCACTATTTGGGAATTAATGGGGACACTATCTGAGAATTAATATGGGAACTATCTGGGAATTAATGGGTGCACTATTTGGGAATTAATGGGGGCACTATCTGGGAATTAATGGGTTCAGTAACCGGAAATTGAACACAGTGATGCCTTTGCTGAGCTTAAAATCTTACATTTTTCTCATATTCAACATTGCGTCTACAGATGAGATCAAGGCGCAGCATCTTCACTTCAGACATAATTTCATTTGTATGTGAATTAAACAAATCTTTGAGTTGAAATAGAGAAGTGCAACGCCTTGGTGAACTGTTATGGATTGAGAGGTGTAGTCGCCCTGGGTATATTGTATGCTGTGTTTAATACATCATGTTTTAGTCGGGAGAATGAGTTAATCCGAGAGGCGCCGGAGCTCGATAGCAATTGTGGATATCCGGATGCCGGTGGTGGGGGCAGGGGGCTGGCTTAGGAAGTCGCCAACCATGAGAACTCTCCTGTCATCAGGGACCTTTGATATCGTGGTCCGCTCCCATCACAGCCAGCTACCGTGGGAGCGCCATGGTTATATTAATAGCATGGGTGCTAACATTGAGCTCACGGCCATCTTCGGAGACTGGAAGGTCGGACTTCGGAAGGTCGGAAGACTGGACTTCGGAGACTATGGAGGTCCCCAAAAGTGTGGCACTGTTGCCCTTCCAACCAGACTGTGGATGTTGATGGTAAGAAAAGTTCTCAAGAGCTATCTAACTGGTAGCCAACTGAGACTTGAAAACTTCAGTGGAGCACCACTAGGGTATCTGGAGAATTATGTTGTCTTCATCCCTGCTATTTTTTGCTGTCATATGATGTTCTCACTACTTAGACTGTAGCTGCTTTTGTTACTGAGTTTCTGCCGCCAGTTCCTTGAGATCATGCTTGACACCTGCTTGATGGGGTTCTGGGAGTTCTTTTACTCCCCAAGCCCGGCCCGAGGCCAGACTTGACTTGTGAGAGCTTGGTCCACCAGGCTGTTGCTTGGAGCGGCCCGCAGGCCCACATACCCACCACAGCCCGGTTGGTCTGGTACTCCTTGAAGAAAACTATCTAGATTCTTCTTGAAGATGTCTACGGTTGTTCCGGCAATATTTCTTATAGTCGCTGGGAGGAAGTTGAACAACCGCGGACCTCTGATGTTTATACAGTGTTCTCTGATTGTGCCTATGGCACCTCTGCTCTTCACTGGTTCTATTCTGAATTTTCTTCCATATCGTTCACTCCAGTATGCTGTTATTTTACTGTGTAGATTTGGGACCTGTCCCTCCAGTATCTTCCACGTGTATATTATCTGATATCTTTCTCTCGTCTCCTTTCTAGTGAGTACATTTAGAGAGCTTTGAGACGATCCCAATAATTTAGGTGCTTTATCGCGTCTGTGCGTGCCGTATATGTTCACTGAACTCTCTCTATTTCAGCAATCTCTCCTGCTCTGAAGGGGAGAGTGAGTACTGAGTACAGAGTAATGAGTACTGCCGCTAGATACAGCGGCAACAATATCTGGAGCAGCTGGCTGCAAAGCTCAGTAATATAAGCGGCGACAGCATTAGTAGTGTGAGGGCATTAGTAGCATTAGTATCAGTATAAGTATCAGAAGGTGGAACAGTATCAGTAGCAGCGGCAGTAGCAAGGACAGTATCAGCAGGGGCAGGACACACACACACACACACACAAGTGGTATTACCAACTGGGCTATTTACCAGAGCACGGTTAACAGCCGAGGCAATATTATGAATAATAGATGCCGCAACCACACTATTTAGTTAAGAGCATAAACACCGCTCCTGCCCCCGCCACCCATACTGCCCCCCTTACACTGCCCCCCCTTACACTGCCCCCCCTTACACTGCCCCCCCTTACACTGCCACCCTTACACTGCCACCCTTACACTGCCACCCTTACACTGCCACCCTTACACTGCCCCCTTACACTGCCCCCCTTACACTGCCCCCCTTACACTGCCCCACCCTTACACTGCCCCATTACACTGCCCCCCCTTACACTGCCACCCTTACACTGCCACCCTTATACTGCCACCCTTACACTGCCCCCCTTACACTGCCACCCTTACACTGCCCCCCTTACACTGCCCCCCTTACACTGCCACCCTTACACTGCCACCCTTACACTGCCCCCCTTACACTGCCCCCCCCCTTACACTGCCCCCCTTACACTGCCCCCCCTTACACTGCCCCCCCTTACACAGCCACCCTTACACTGCCTCCCTTACACTGCCCCCCCCTTACACTGCCACCCTTACACTGCCACCCTTATACTGCCACCCTTACACTGCCCCTTACACTGCCACCCTTACACTGCCCCCCCTTACACTGCCCCCCCTTACACTGCCCCCCCTTACACCACCCTACACTGCCCCCTTACACTGCCCCCTTACACCCAAGTGTCGCCCCCATACACTACAAACATCACCATAACATCAATATTCTTCAAGACCAATATCAGCCCCGACAGGAACATTCTTAAGAGTCTCAAGCTGCTAAACGCTCTACAAAGGGACCAGAAAAGCAGTTGCCAATAACTAGAGAGAGAACGCTAACATTCTAGACTATAACAGTCTTCGGGGGACTGCTTATTGGTCAGTGTGCACCCCTCTCTCAGCTGCTGGATCACGTGGACCTGGATGCTGCAGCCTCTCTCAGCTGCTGGATCACGTGGACCTGGATGCTGCAGCCTCTCTCAGCTGCTGGATCACGTGGACCTGGATGCTGCAGCCTCTCTCAGCTGCTGGATCGCTCTTGTAATAACTACCACCACCACCACCACCACCACCACCAGCACTACCACCATCAACCAGCACCAACAACCACCACCTCAGAAGCTGGGTTCAGCAGGTCGTGGCTGGTATTAGATTATAGCCGCTGTGTTCGGCTCCTTTATGTCGTACTATTGGTAATTCCTGTCACTCTCTCCCATCACTGTCGCTCACCCGCATCATGTATGAGGCACGTGATGAGGGGTGGCACTGACGGGTGGCACTGACGGATGGCACTGACGGGTGCCACTGACGGATGGCACTGACGGGTGCCACTGACGGGTGGCACTGACTGATGTCACTGACGGGTGGCACTGACTGATGGCACTGATGGGTGCCACTGACTGATGGCACTGATGGGTGCCACTGACGGATGGCACTGACGGGTGGCACTGACGGATGGCACTGACGGATGGCACTGACGGGTGCCACTGACGGGTGGCACTGACTGATGTCACTGACGGGTGCCACTGACTGATGTCACTGACGGGTGCCACTGACTGATGGCACTGACGGATGGCACTGACGGGTGGCATTGACTGATGGCACTGACGGGTGGCACTGACGGGTGCCACTGACGGATGGCACTGACTGATGGCACTGACTAATGGCACTGACGGGTGCCACTGACGGATGGCACTGACTGATGGCACTGACGGGTGGCACTGACTAATGGCACTGACGGGTGCCACTAACGATTCCACTGACGGATGCCACTGACAGGTGGCACTGACGATTCCACTGACGGATGCCACTGACGGATGCCACTGACGGATGGCACTGACGAGTGCCACTAACGAGTCCCACTGACTTGTGCCACTGACGAGTGCCATTGACGGGTGCCACTGACTGATGACACTGACAGAAGTTACCTGAGTGATTAGGGAAGACCGGGGCGGGGGAGGGGGGGGGTTGACTCCCATATGAAAATAGTTCATGACACCACAGAGTCAACGTCTAAGGAACAGGGGCACAAAAAGTGGGACGGTTGGCACCATCCAGCCAGTGCCAAAAAGGTGACATAAAAAACGTCGGAAGGGCGGCGAAAATTGCTAAAAAAAACGGAAAAGGGAGGCACTGGGGGATGGGTTGGTGGCCGTGTGGGTGGTGGGCGTATCAAAAAGTAAGGGTGGCACTGAGTGTAATGGGGAAAGGGGGGGGGTAATGGGGGTGGTGGTGGTGGTGGTTTCAATGTTAAAAATAGGGGGTTGGAGGGGCTCCCCACGCCACGTGTGGTGGCACAGTATGGGACTAATGATACAATGTATGGGCCGAAATAATAGCTGCCACCTGGAGGCACTCTTGAGAGGCACTCTTGAGAGGCACTCTTGAGAGGCACTCTTGAGAGGAGGACAACAGTGTATTTATTATTTCTTGCCAATTCGACAGTAAGGGAAAATAATATATATATATATATATATATATATATATATATATATATATATATATATATATATATATATATATATATATATATATATATATATATATATTATATAGATAATGTAAGAGTGAATGGGAGGGTGAAGAAAAGAAGCAGAAGAAGAAGAGTACATTATTTAATATATGGTATTTTCAAAATCAAGGTACGCATACGAACCTGTTAAATGTACGCCTGCTGGACGTGGACGTACGCCTGCTGAACGTGAACGTACGCCTACTGAACGTAACCTCATACCTTGATAGAGCTCGCAAACAAATGAGAAGCGCGCGATAGGGACTGACAATCATGCGATAGACCCAAAAGATACGAAGCTGTTGCGTATCATTTCATTTATTTCAATACGTTTAATATCCGCTTTCTGAGGTCAGAACATACAAGACGCATGATATCCAAGCTGCCCTTGGCGTTCCAGGATAGCAAGTTCCTTGAGGGGGGGTGGAGATAACGCAGGGTTTATCGGTACGCTTCTATGGTTTCCCCTGATGTGGGATTAGTAGGATAAAACGCCTAGCCATTACGACTATACACCACTTGGAAGGGATCAGGATAAGAATTTGGAATGAGACGGGTGTGGAAGGGGGAAGGAATGGTGCTCAACCATTTTTGTTCAGTCGGGGATTGAACGCCGACCTGCATGAAGCGAGATCGTCCAACTCAAGTGGATGGGTGATTACCTATTCAAGCAGTAGGTGATAAGGAGAGGAGAATATCAGGAATATGTATCAAGGTATCATGAAGGAGAAGGTAGGATAATGCGAAAAAAGGGAAAAATGAGAGAGAAAGTAAGATGATGGTGAGGAAATGAGAAAGAGGATAAGGAGAGAGAGAGAGAGAGAGAGAGAGAGAGAGAGAGAGAGAGAGAGAGAGAGAGAGAGAGAGAGAGAGAGAGAGAGAGAGAGAGAGTAGAGGGCAAAGATGAAAGAAGACAGGAGGAAAATAAACGAAGGAAAAGAGGAGGAAAAGGGTAGATAGGTGTGAGAGATGGGGGGAGGGGAGGAGACCTTCTCCCAGCAGTGCTCTGGAGACTGTCTCCAAAAATAGACAGGTTCCCCTAACGCTATTTTTGGCGGGTCCCGTAAATCAGAGAAGGGATTTTTTTTCGCTGCCTTCTTTCTGCAAAAACACTGAGCAATGCTTCGGATATATTCTGGCAGTATCGTGGGGTGATGTGTCGTGTACGGTGTTATAGTATGTTGTATCTAGTGTGGGTGTGTATGGGGTACCTAGGGTGGGTGTGGGTACCTAGGATGTGTGTGGGTGTGGGGGGTACCTAGGATGTGTGTGGGTGTGGGGGGTACCTAGGATGGGTGTGTGTGGGGGGTACCTAGCGTGTGTGGGGGGGGGTACCTAGGGTGTGTGTGTGTGTGGGGGGGTACCTAGGGTGGGTGTGGTGGTACCTAGGGTGTGTGTGTGTGTGGGGGGGTACCTAGAGTGGGTGTGGTGGTACCTAGGGTGTGTGTGTGTGTGTGTGTGGGGTACCTAGGGTGTGTGTGTGGGTACCTAGGATGAGTGTGTGTGTGTGGGTACCTAGGGTGTGTGGAGGGGTACCTAGGGTGTGTGTGTGTGTAGGTACCTAGGGTGTGTGTGTGTGTGTGTGTGTAGGTACCTAGGGTGAATATGTGTGTGGATACCTATGCCAAGGGTGTGTATGTGCGCGCGCGTGTGTGTGTGTGTGTGTGTGTGTGTGTGTGTGTGTGTGTGTGTGTGTGTGTGTGTGTGTGTGTAAACTGGGTTACTCTCCACGACATAACATTATTAAATGTCCAGTAATTAGAGCAACTTGAGACCCAGCTGAGCCTTGCGGTAAGGCACAGCCCGCAGCTCAACACTTACCTCCTCCATGCTCCTGTTTCTTAAAGATATTGAAAGTTTTCCCCATGTTGACTGTGTGCTAACCTTGCACGACCCTGCGCCACCCGGAGCATACCTGGAAGCATACCTGTAACACGAATCATCCTGTTAGATAGGGATCTTAGTATCACACAGCTATAGTTCTTGATGTTATCTATGTTTAACCCTTGAGATACGCAGCCCACACACACACGAAGCGTGTGTGTGGCCACGTTTCGGTCTTTCTTGGTCAGTATAATCACACCTTGATAATGGTCCCAGACGACCGAAACGTCGTCATTTGCTTTTCATATGTGTGTTGGGGGGCAATGAAATTGTTCAACTACGTTATTGTGACTTAGTCTCTGCATAGGTTAAGATATCTGAATAAACACCCATGTTATTGTACCTGTATGTTATTCTTGAGGTTATCTTGAGATGATTTCGGGGCATTTAGTGTCCCCGCGGCCCGGTCCTCGACCAGGCCTTCACCCCCAGGAAGCAGCCCGTGACAGCTGACTAACACCCAGGTACCTATTTTACTGCTAGGTAACAGGGGCATAGGGTGAAAGAAACCTATTGTTTCTCGCCGGCGCCCGGGATCGAACCCAGGACCACAGGATCACAAGTCCAGCGTGCTGTCCTCTCGGCCAACCGGCTCCCGGTCCACCGGCTCCTTATTGTACGTATTACTAGGTCAATAGCAACCAATAAAGGCGTACTTAGGGAGAGTTGCCGGGTCAACAAACTTAGCAGAGTTATACGGTCAACGACCTGGCCATGAATTACGAATGTGAGAATGGAAGCCAAATGCAGAGGAAATAAATATGGAAAAAAGTGGAATTCAAATTGAGTTAAGAGATTTTCTCTGAAGCTCCTCAACCACGTTTATAAACTAGGATCAGTGCCCTCAAGGCAGTTGGGTAATTTTCTCCTCCTCACAATATTTGAAGAGAGAGAGAACATTTACCGCGAGATTTGAGCTACAACTGGTTGACTTCAGAGGCTTCATGAGCTATAAGGATACCTGGTTGATGGGGTTCTGGGAGGTCTTCTACTCCCCCAAGCCCGGCCCGAGGCCAGGCTAGACTTGTGAGAGTTTGGGAGGAGGAGGAGGAGGTCTCCCTAAGGAGACCCGGAATGCATAACATAATACTTGGAAGGGATATGAGGACGTGGAGCTGGGATATGAGAACGGGGTGGGGGAACGGTGACCAATTAGACCATCGGGGATCGAACGTCGACCCCGCAAAAACGTGGCCATCGCTTTACTGACCAGTCCAAGTGGATAATTTAAATTATTTATTTGAGCCAGAAAAAAAGTATGAGCCAGACAGAGGTCAGAGGAGTCCAGATGAGCCAGGTGGAGGTCAGAGGAGCCCAGATGAGCCAGGTGGAGATCAGAGGAGCCCAGATGAGCCAGGTGGAGATCAGAGGAGCCCAGATGAGCCAGGTGGAGATCAGAGGAGCCCAGATGAGCCAGGTGGAGATCAGAGGAGCCCAGATGAGCCAGGTGGAGGTTAGAGGAGCCCAGGTGAGCCAGGTGGAGGTCAGAGGAGCCCAGATGAGCCAGGTGGAGATCAGAGGAGCCCAGATGAGCCAGGTGGAGATCAGAGGAGCCCAGATGAGCCAGGTGGAGATCAGAGGAGCCCAGATGAGCCAGGTGGAGATCAGAGGAGCCCAGGTGAGCCAGGTGGAGGTCAGAGGAGCCCAGATGAGCCAGGTGGAGATCAGAGGAGCCCAGATGAGCCAGGTGGAGATCAGAGGAGCCCAGGTGAGCCAGGTGGAGGTCAGAGGAGCCCAGATGAGCCAGGTGGAGATCAGAGGAGCCCAGATGAGCCAGGTGGAGATCAGAGGAGCCCAGATGAGCCAGGTGGAGATCAGAGGAGCCCAGGTGAGCCAGGTGGAGGTCAGAGGAGCCCAGGTGAGCCAGGTGGAGGTCAGAGGAGCCCAGATGAGCCAGGTGGAGGTCAGAGGAGCCCAGGTGAGCCAGGTGGAGATCAGAGGAGCCCAGAGCCCAGATGAGCCAGGTGGAGGTCAGAGGAGCCCAGATGAGCCAGGTGGAGATCAGAGGAGCCCAGATGAGCCAGGTGGAGATCAGAGGAGCCCAGGTGAGCCAGGTGGAGGTCAGAGGAGCCCAGGTGAGTCAGGTGGAGGTCAGAGGAGCCCAGATGAGCCAGGTGGAGGTCAGAGGAGCCCAGGTGAGCCAGGTGGAGGTCAGAGGAGCCCAGGTGGAGATCAGAGGAGCCCAGGTGAGCCAGGTGGAGGTCAGAGGAGCCCAGGTGAGCCAGGTGGAGGTCAGAGGAGCCCAGGTGAGCCAGGTGGAGGTCAGAGGAGCCCAGGTGAGCCCAGGTGAGGTGGAGACCAAGTGTGCCAGGAAGGGGGGTGGGGTGGGGTGTCTGGGGTTGGGGGGTGTGTGAGGGGAGGCGAGGCGTGGATGATGGTGGTGTAATATCCGGCTGACCATAAAACCACCCTCGTTACTCACGTGGTGTGGCTCCTGACGATCCTCTGTGCCCTCGCCCCCCCCACCCCCCACCCCACCCTCTCTTCTCTTCCCTTCCTTTCCTCGATCCTCTTTCTTCCCCACGTCTCCCTCTCCCCATTTTTTTTTTGTCTCCCCCTTCTGTCTCTCTCCGTCTTCGTAATTCCGTTTGTGTCTGCTGCCTCCCATACTATTTACTGAAGATGTGGGAGGAGGAAGAGACCGAGAGGGGGGGGGGGTTGGGGTTGGTAGGGATACGCTGTTGCTCAAGACGATTTCGCTTGTCCTTATCGCTAGACATTTATGTTCAGGGTAAGATGGTGCAGAGAGGGGGTATGGGGGGGTTAGGAGAGGGGGGGGGGGTGCGCCTCAGTAGGTGCTGATCCACCCCCCCCCCCTCTCCTAACCCCCCACTCCTCTCCCTCCTTCCCTTTCCTTCTCAGTCCCTACACCGTCCTTGTAGTTTAACAGTCACATGTCTTGTAAGGAGGTCCTTTGGCCAAATAAAGAATTTTACTCTTTAGTCTTTGATGAAGATGGGAGGATTGTCTTAATGTCGCTGCCATTCTGGGTAGTATGGGGCCAGAAGATGACATCGTGCCTATTCAAACTACCACCCTGGGTAGTACTCACTTAGTTGTGGGGGTTGAGGTCTGGCTGTTTGGTCCCGCCTCTCAACTGTCAATCAACTGGTGTACAGATTCCTGAGCCTATTGGGCTCTATCATATCTACATTTGAAACTGTGTATGGAGTCAGCCTCCACCATATCACTGCCTAATGCATTCCATTTAGTTAGGGGACCCGTGGGGAAGGTTAGGCAGCACCATACCCACTGTGATGGGAACCAGCGGAGCCGAGTACACTCGCCTCAACACACTCAGCTCCCTGCAACAGAGAATAAGCTTGGCTCAGCTATCAAACCCATACACCGTGTCAGCAAGGCGGTCAGTCCGCAGGCGGTCAGTCCGCAGGCGGTCATAACTTACTATATTCCTGTACCTCTCCATCTCCTCTTGTTCCCCCCTCCCTCCCTCCCTCCCACACCGGTGAAAAAAGGGACGGAGGAAGAGACATGGAGAATGACTGGAGAATAAGGGAAACCATTTAGACCATGATGTAAACTTTTTTTTTAGTTACTGTAGAGTACTTTACAGCGTCACTAACTACTCCCGTCTCTATAGGGCACACTTAATCTTTAATGCCTGTTAGGGTTAAATTGAAACTTTACTCGTAACTACTTTGACACATCATCATAACTTGACTGGACTTAAGAGGTGTACAGCAGACTACACCAGACTTAAGAGGTGTACAGCAGACTACACCAGACTTAAGAGATGTACAGCAGACTACACCAGACTTAAAAGGTGTACAGCAGACTACACCAGACTTAACAGGTGTTTAGCAGACTACACCAGACTTAACAGGTGTTCAGCAGACTACACCAGACTTAACAGGTGTTTAGCAGACTACACCAGACTTAACAGGTGTTTAGCAGACTACACCAGACTTAACAGGTGTACAGCAGACTACACCAGACTTAACAGGTGTTCAGCAGACTACACCAGACTTAACAGGTGCTCATTAAACAACAATTGTGTTGACGAACTCCTCACATATGAGGCCATTCCATGAGTATCTCACATATAAAAATAACCCCGAATAATTCTTCAACCCCCCTCCCACCTTCCCCTCACCAACAAGGTACCAGTGAACACAATTCCATAGAGCTTTCCCGAGCGGCTGCCCGCCACACCGCGCCGCCAGGAGCGTAAACCGCGGGTAACCGGCGGGAGAATCTCAGCGCCGCAATAATCATTCCCGTCTAAATAAACCAAGCACAAACGCCCCAGTAAAAAAAGGTGTAGCGGGAACCGCACGTCAAGGCGTTCCTCATTATTACCCTCAACCCTTTTTTCTTCCCCCTTCATATTCCCTGAATTAACCTAGGCTGGGATTTTTTTTGCGTGTTTTGATGACGCAAATATCTTTGTTGCGTTGCGTCGTACCTGGGGGCGTATTGCTTGCTTGCTTGCTTGTCGGGTTTGTTCGTGGTCTGTTTGGGTTCGGATTTCGTATATTCGTGGTTCGTATTGGCTGCCCGCGGGTATTAGTAGATTTAGTTGAAATGTGAGGCTGTTGTTGTTGCAGGCACGACGTGGACGTGTAGGGTGGCAGAGTGGTATCATAGAACACGTGTTGCAAGCATTGCAAGAAGTGTCTAGCGTTGCACGACGTATTTAGTGTTTCATGACGTATTTAGTGTTGCAATAAGTGTCTAATGTTGCAAGACGTATCTATTTATGCAAGAAGTATATAGTGTTGCAAGAAGTATCTGACGTTGCACCTTGTCGTGCACACCCCGTGTTGCGTCTCAAGGCGGGGTAGAATGAACAAAAAAAGCTCGGTTTTTTGGTGTGTGTGTTTTTGTGATCATGCCTGCATTAGCGAGCTGTTAGCTCTTGGGCCCCGCCTTTCTAACCATCTGATTTACTGACTCCCGGCCTGTTGTCGTCTGTCATATCTACTACATGTATTTCTCTCTCTCACACACACAAGTGTGTGTGTGTGTATTCACCTAGTTGTATTCTCCTAGTTGTCCTTGCGGGGGTTGAGCTCTGCTCTTTCGGCCCGCCTCTCAACTGTTACTAACTGCTATTTTTTTCCACACCACACACACATACACACCCAGGAAGCAGCCCTTGACAGCTGACTAACTCCCAGGTACCTATTTGCTGCTAGGTAACAGGGGCATCAGAATGAAAGAAACTCTGCCCATTGTTTCTCGCCGACACCGGGAATCGAACCCGGCCTCAGGATTACGTATCTAGCGGGGTGTCCACACAGCCACCGGCGCTGTGTGTGTGTGTGTGTGTGTGTGTGTGTGTGTGTGTGTGTGTGTGTACTCACCTAGTTGTACTCACCTAGTTGTGTTTGCGGGGGTTGAGCTCTGGCTCTTTGGTCCCGCCTCTCAACCGTCAATCAACAGGTGTACAGATTCCTGAGCCTATCGGGCTCTGTCATATCTACACTTGAAACTGTGTATGGAGTCAGCCTCCACCACATCACCCCCTAATGCATTCCATTTGTCAACCACTCTGACACTAAAAAAGTTCTTTCTAATATCTCTGTGGCTCATTTGGACACTCAGTTTCCACCTGTGTCCCTTGTGCGTGTTCCCCTTGTGTTAAATGACTGTCTTTATCTACCCTATCAATCCCCTTCAGATCTTGAATGTGGTGATCATGTCCCCCCTAACTCTTCTGTGTGTGTTGTGTGTGTGTGTGTGTGTGTGTGTGTGTGTGTGTGTGTGTGTGTGTGTTCATAATTATTTCACTCTATGATGATATCCAACGCATTTATGACCCTATTTCACGCACCTAGATGGAGTAGAGGAAAAGGCTACATCAGCTGGTGGCTGTGATGGGAGGGGGGGGGGTTGAATTGGCATCCTCGTTAGCCAAAGAATCTGTCTTTAGAGAGAAGAAATTGAGTATAACCTTGGATTGTCAATAAGTAGTCTAAGAGCAGCAGTACACCGAGAACTTCAACAAAATCTTGTAGATCTGAGGCAAAGTGAAATCGACACCAGTAATTCCATCTATCATCATACTATCATGCAAGAGGAACCACACATCTATGGATCATCCAATAAAATCAGCAGACTTCTAGATGTTACTACTGCTCGGCTTAGACTCGGTTACAAGTATCTCTGGGAATTCTCATTATCTGCTGATGTAGACCTGACCAAATGTAAACTGTGTCAACAAAATTATTCGCACACCCTCCTTCACTATGTGATGGAGTGCGAGAAGATATGTTAATTCAGAGATAATTCTATTACAAATTTTCCAGAGATGTTTAAATATTTCATTCAAAATGATCTGCTACCAGAAATCTTAGCCACATATCCCCAGTTTGCTAACTGTCGGTAGCATCTAAGTGACTGTAACCTATCCACCGCTGCCCACTGGATGGGGGGCGGTGTGCAGGACAAACATATCAATTCTGACACTAGCTCTCCACATATGTCAGTTGCTTAATTTAGAACCTGTACTTGAGGTCGATCTCGAACCCATTGTTGATGTGACGACTTATATTGAATTTTGTAACTAGCTCATCAAGATTGTAACTTGCTTAGCTAATGAATTGTGGGGTTCAGTCCCTGAGCCCATTATGTGCCTCTGTAACCCTTTCCACTACCGCCCACAAGATGGGTATGGGGTGCATAATAAATGAACTAAACTAACTCTTGGCCAAGGGGGTTTGTTGGTGGTTGAGGTGGTAGTGTGGTGGTGGTGGTGGTTAAGATGGTGGTTGAGGTGGTGGTTGTGGTGGTTGAGGTGATGGTTGTGGTGGTGGTGGTTGAGGAGGTGGTAGTGTGGTGGTGGTGGTTGAGGTGGTGGTTGTTGTGGTGGTGGTTGAGGTGGTGGTTGGTGGTGGTGGTTGAGGTGATGGTTGTGGTGGTGGTGGTTGAGGAGGTGGTAGTGTGGTAGTGGTGGTTGAGGTTGTGGTGGACTAGTTGTGGTACCTAAGAGAAGGTTGTACTGTTCGAATGTTATTCCTGTACTTAATCTCATCTGTCGCATCATCATCATCATCATCACCATTCATAATCATCATACAAAATCATCATCATCCTCCCCCCCCCCCTCCCCTCCCCCTCCCTATCCTTACCACTTCCTCTCTCACTATCTCTGTGTCTTTGTTTCTCCCATTGACATTTTTGCTTCGTAATTACCAAAGTCTATTACGTGTTGTATAAAGCG